CTATGGGCGGTCTCTCGATACTCCATCTTGGATTGATCGGACCGTTGTTTTGTTGGCTGTAATAAAGCTTTGTTGTACACTACTGCTAGTGTGTCCGATTGTAGTCTTTGTACTGTGGTTGTTTCTTTTCCCCACTGGCGGTTGTTGCCTGAATAAATTCTTGAAAACAAACTTCATTAAAATGATTTTCAAACATCTTAATTCATATTCACCATTAAGTACATTCACACGCATTCTGTAATGACTTCCTTTTGGGCAGGCCTATTGACGTTCAAACTAGAATTTCTAGAAATTAATGTGCCAAACCTATTTTACCTTAATTTATATCATTTTGCATGCTAATAGAAACTCATACCCGATTCACACGTGAAGTTAAATTTAACAAAAAGTAACAAATTGTAACCGAGCCATCTCCCGAGTTATTCCTACGGAGATAAAAAGCATTCACACACAAGGTAATGCCAAGGTCGTGTAAAATTTATTCAGTGTTTATTCAATGAATCATTTTTTCCCCTACTGCGATATAGGTCTAGCCTAGGCCTAGTTGAGAACCCCTGTCACAGATGGACTGTTGAACTCACCATCACAGTAAACATTCGAAGCAATCAATGCCCTTAACAACTGCTGTACTACTACTACTAAACTAGGCATAGCTTCCGACGTTTCTGTCCACTCTTGATAATACTAGTAATAGTACTAATACCATCCCGACGTTAATTGTATATCTCCTTCTTCTACCATTACTAATTAACATCGATAACAAGGGTAATTCATTCATCATTGAGAAAAACTAGGCCTATCTATTTCTAGTGGATCAGAATCATGTGCATGCTACATCTTGGAAGCTTTACCAGTTTCAGCAAGGCTGGTAAAGACTACGAGATGTTCCGAGATTTTACAAGGATATTACACGGAGGTACTTTCACACGTGCCGTAAAATTACTTTTGGTTTCATTTTGTTACATTTGGTATGATTTTTGTACGTGTGAATCGGTACATAAGAGATTTGTTTGTTTTTTCTTTCTCACATATGCTGTTTCAGGTAATTCGACATTTTTCCTTGTCAAAAGAAAGTAAAAATTAGGTAATGTAGCACATGGTAGTCAATAGACAATAATAGAGTACTACTAAAAAACTAAATCCTTTCCGAGCCACTAGGGGCTCAATGGGTTGGAGCTTATCCCCAGTTTCCGTAGTGTTAAGCGGATGAGAGTCTATAGTACTCCCTCTGGACGGGACACTAGGCCGTCGCAGGTTAGTCCCCAGCAGTTTGCTGGTACCCATTGGTACAGCTGGGTGGACTGAAGCAATGTAGCTATAAGTACCTTGCCCAAGGACACAAGTGAATCTGCACAGCGGAGACTCGAAACCCTGACCTTACGATTAAAAGTCCGAACCTCAACCGCTGCGCCAAACTGCCGCTACATAATAGAGTACAGACAAGCAATAAACTGTGGCATAGTGTTCAATAACAAAAATAAGAAAAATTATGTTGAAGGTGAAATGATGACATCATGGTTTACTTTCATGAGCCAACAAAAGTATGTCACGTCCATAATAAAGATAGATACAACATGTATTTTGACATTATGCTGCAATAACCAGATCATCGAACTCACTGAACATAGCATGAGTTACACTTTTGCAAAATTCTTTTATTTTCCCCAAAATTTGCTTGTCACAAAAACAAAAAAACTACATATTAAATTGACCACCTATTAATTTATAACTACAGTTAATAATCAATTTTATGTAATGAATTTTTTTCTTTAACCGAAAGACTATGAAACCAAACAAATAAAGGAAAAGGTTAGAACACTTTCAATAAAGGAGTAAGCTACTAACTATATCATTTGCACCAAATTCAAAAAAATTGCTGTGTATTGTATTTGTATAACATGTAGTAGTGCTGGGAGGGGACAGTGCCATATAAGTGCCTGGGCCACTGGAGTGAAAATATTAGGATTAAAAAATTGTTACCTATTTTGGAAGAATAAACATAAAAATTTAACATTTAAATATCTAAATGTCCATCAATTTTTGGCTTCACTTCCCACACTGTGCTTATGTCCTATCACTCAACCCCACCAGATATCCTTAATATATCTGTCAGGCCACTATAGTAAAATATACATGTTTTGACTGTTTATGTTATAAAATTAGAAATCTAAAAAAGTTAAAAGGCCATTCCTTGTGGGGGAACTCTCCCACTTCCCCAACTTTCAACTTCCAGCAGGCCTCACATAGTCCCTAGACCCCCGACTTTACTGTACGGTACTGCCTATTATATTTAATACAGGGCTCAGGGTGAAGATGTATTTTTGTAATGAAGAAATATCCTAGTGTCACAGAACCAATGTGTTAAAAAAGAAAGCACCTTCCGCCATTGACTGCACATGACAAGTAAATCTTTTATTTTTTTAATAGGAGATTAAATTAATGAATTCTTTTTAAATTCTTATTTATGTTGTTTTTCTAAAATCAACAAACACAATATATCACAAAGTATTATTAATAAATTACTAATTTCTCAAGTAATTGTAAATATTAAATTGCTCAACACTTACCTCTTATGATTACAGTGAAGGTGCAGAAACCAGTATTACCACTGTTGTCAGTTGAAGTACACGTAACAGGAGTGTCACCAACAGGAAACGATGAGCCAGATGGTGGGGTGCAGGTAGCTGACAAGCCTGTGTCAATATCATCAGTTACTGTTGGCAGATTCCAAGTTGCAGTTCCTGTTGATTGGCCTGGGGATGTATCTGTAGATAACCTACTTGGACAGGTCACACCTGGTGGTTCATCAGCTGTTACAGAGAAAATAAGAGTTACAGAATCATGTACACTTCACACAGCATTTAAAAGTCTATTCTAAAAATACATCACCATGATTCTTCAGGTGCAGGTAATCTATTATAAGTGAGTGGTGACGTCATCACTTATATTTGCACTGAATTTTCCTATTCCCAACTGATCACTATATTGATATAGCGCCTCACATATTTTGCGTCTCATGTGCAAAAAAGCTCAAAGCTGCAGGGTGATTTTACTACAAAACATCACAATGGAATTTTTCGTTGCTAGGCCAAGCTATGAATGCACACTCAACAAACATAACAAATCTCATTCTTTACAGAGCTGGTTAACACGAATGAAGCCTAGATTCAAGATTCGTGAAAATCTCAGTACATTCCACTGGCAGTGTTACAAGTGTTCATAACATACAGTATACAGTAATAAACAAAGGACAACTCAGGATATAAAAATATAAAACTATGAGCACCAAACAACATATATTCATAAGAAAGAGTACAAACAGAATATTAAACATTATTAAACAATATTACCCTTTAAACCTAATTAAATTAGGCCAAAATTGCACTTAAACAACAATGATCTATTAACATTATTATGAAGGTGAATGGATTTGGAATGAAGGAGTTTCTATGATGGCAAAGTGTGGTGAGTAGTACATTTAGACGAAAACGAGAGTTAAGGCCGGTTTTCCACTAGTGGAATTTATTCGTGTGAATCAAAGCGTCGGTTCGTTTCTGAGCTGAGATTGGTTGCACATTTTTTCGCTTTGCAAAAACTCCGATAAAATTGCGAATGCGCATGCGCATGGACCGATGCTATCGCGAAGAGCTGTGCAAAAGAGTGTCAATGCATGTACTACTAAGAAATTCTAATACGCGCAGCTAATGTACACACACAGTGATCACTAAGCCACCAGCACTTTGACTGATTTATGATATAGGGCCTATAGCAACTGCTCTAAGACCAGCAGTTGGATTCTAAAAGGCCATAGAAAAGGTGATGGACATCCCAACTGACTTATAAAGCAATTATAGTCAAGTAATTTCATACACTATAGGAAATAGAAGCCTTAGGAATATTTCCTTCAAAAATTGGCTTCAGCCCTGCAGACTTCAAGCATATAGTGCAGCGCGCTACTGTATATGGTCTTTGGTTACAACAGCTTACACTGACAACAAACTGCTATTAAAAGAGGTACCGTAATGGCCTACTTCATAAAAAATTGCCAAAAAAAAGAAGTTGATTTTGTATTAGAATCCTGCAACGATATTTTTTCAGGTCAGTAATTGGCATCAAAAAAAATTTTTTCAATTGCGATATTCATATTTTCTTTCCGGTTCATTGAAATAGCGACGATAAACATATAATAGTTAGTTTTAAATAGTTATATTAATAATG